TAACTGTTTACATCCGACAATATTTCCTTTGTATCTAGATGTTGTCCCCAAAATATACATTACTATGTTCCTTAACAGTCCTACCTTCAGCGTAGAGTGTTTAAATCAATGTTTGGGTCCACACTGCCATTATCAAGTATAAATTTAGTATAGTTTTGTCATTATATCTTTGTTCATTATCTAAGTGTTAACTATTGACATTGGAATTATTATATTTTGAATATCTCAGAACGTCATATAATGTTGAAGGATTTTTATTTGGCCCAGATTCACACTCAGATGAGTGTATAAAATCAACGTCTTTAATTTGTCCAGCTGCTCTTATTTTGGATCACCACAAATCCTTCCTTGGCCTTATACTTTTCTAATATTAAAAAAAAATTGTGTTTATTAAAATTGGTTATCTATTGATATTCCTTATTGTCTCTGTCGTTCCCAAGAGTCTTCAACTCATTAGTGTTAGCTTTATTTCCTTTTGATTGAAAACTCTCTCTTATAATATAATAATATATTGAGTTTAGTTTTCTGAACTGCTAGTCAGCACTACTGAGGAGTCCTTTGGGTCCATACTTTATGAAGACGTTGTGTGTTACATTCTTACTGTAGCCTCTTTCTTCGAGGTTTGTGGTGGGTATTGTTATAACTTACTCTTTGGTTATCTGCTTTCCTTTATTTTAAAAAGAAAGATAATTTGTTGTGTTTTTAAAATTCTTGTGTCCTTCTTTCGGAGTACTGTGTCCGTGTTTCTCGTAAGACTCAAAGCACACTTTATCAGTTCAAGTCATGAGGAATCTCATAGCATGAGGGATAATTCAGTTCAAACATTTCAGAAAATATGTGCATATAAGATACTTTATTTTTATTTTTTTCTGAAGCTAACCCAACACCTAGTGCTGGACAGTTTGGATCCCCAACTCCCTCACCTAGTGCCGGACAGTTTGAATCCCCAACTCCCTCACCCAGTGCTGGACAGTTTGGATCCCCAACTCCCTCACCTAGTGCTGGACAGTTTGGATCCCCAACTCCCTCACCTAGTGCCGGACAGTTTGGATCTCCAACTCCTGGTTCTAGTCAGCCATGTGTCTCTGGGTGGTCCTCGTGGATAAATGAACATGTGTCTCTGGGTGGTCCTCGTGGATAAATGAACATTCTCCAGTGGGCACTGATGGTGATAATGAGAAGATGAGTAAAGAAGAACTTGCCAAGTTTTGCCCCAATGGAAAAATCACAGACATCCAGTGTATTGACGCACAAACTGGAGATGATTCAACCAGTCTGGCCGAAGCTTCCTGTACTGTGGAGGGAGGACTTTCATGTACAAGCCTTCCTTTCCCTGGCATCCCTCCTTGTCATGACTACAAGATCAGATACATGTGCTCCTGTTCAGGTGAGTTTATGTAGTTTATTTTACATAACCTTTTCCTTGCTTTTCCGTATTGTCCAATATGTAAACAAGATTTTTATATTCTGTGATGCGCAATTTAATTTAAGAAATTTTATTTTGAATAAAATTTATCAGAAGAAAAATACTATTTTTTGCAATTGTTCAGGTGTTTAACTCCTTCAATGCCGCAGGTAAATAGGCCCCATTGCCGGGGGAAATACCATGAACCAAGGCTGCTCAAGGGTGATCCCACTCTACATCCCATAACTTTTTTATTTATGAAAATTTCCTCATGAATTTATGCATATACATTGTGCATTGGACCACATTTCTATTGGGGAATTTCATTGAGAGATAGATGGAGAAAAGATGGAGTTAGTAATATGATGCCAAAAACAATCCCATCGAACAACACAAACAATACAAATTCGAGTAATGATAAACTGAGACCAAAAAAAGGGGACATGTTGTGTGAGTGTTTGCAGGTAAAGAAGAAATGACAAGAGGCTTTTCCTACCTTAAACAGCACTCATACCATCCATATATATACATATAAGCGCATCTTTGTTTACTGCCAGTAAATCATTTTTGTGTGGTAAATGTGTTAGATCTAGATCTAGATCTAATCTTCTCTTCGAGCTAAAATCTAAATCTGACGCTTTCAATTTAATTATTGACTATGTGCTTTTTAATGTCTGTGCATGTGTGGAAAGATTGAGACAAGAATATTTGTAAAAGGGATTTCTGTAGGCCGTAAAGAATAAGGATGTTTATATATAAGTTAAGTGTCAAGATAAATGGGCTTAGTCAAACCACTTGTCCACCATTTATTTCTGAATGAGCACTGGTTTAGACATTTTCTTTGATGGCTTGTGTAGGCATGATCATGATAAATCATAAATTGTGACTGTTATGGTTCTATTATTAGATTCGCAGCTACAATTACATTTTATCTATGAACAATGAAGGGTAATTTTCATTTATTTTTTATCTTCTGAAATTAGAGATTTTAAAATGTATTATTATGTGATTAAAGATATTTTAAGCTGGTTAAATCTTCTACAAGTTGAGTATTTCTTTTCATTGAATATGTAAACCAATTTTCCTTTTCAGATGCTGTGACAGCCACCCCTGTACCCCCAGTGTCTGTTACTCCGAATCAGAAGATACAGGTGAATTGTGACTGGTCACCATGGCTTAATGCCGACAGTCCAGATGTTGGAAATGGTGATATGGAAACACTGACAGAAATTAGACGCACTTTTGGAGTTTGTCCCACTATTGCTGACATTGAGTGTCGGGTGGCTGGCTCGCCAACATTGTTCTCACAGGCGGGTCAAGATAGGCTTATGTGTGATGTTTTGAATGGGTTCAGATGCTTCAACAATGAACAGAAAGATGGCCAGTGCTTGGATTATGAAGTGAGAGTTTTATGCTGGGGCCAGCAATGTACAGGTAATTGATTCTTTTTTCTTTTTTTTTTGACTAGAAATGAAAGCCTGCTTAGTTTTGTGACATTACAGTGTGTAAGATCATTTATATTGATAAGTAATGTTGCAATAAGGTCAAGAATGGAGTTGAAGAAAATATGTGTATGAAGCTCCTAATTAGTCTCTTTTGTAGAATTAAATTGCTTTTGTTTTAAAGAAGTATGGTTTATTGTTAAAGAAATAATCAAAATGTTCAAGACATGATGTAGCGTGAAGGGAGAGTCTTCCTGGGAAGTTCAAATCTTTAAAAAATAGATTTTCCTAGATTCATTGCCTATGTTAATTATTGGTTGTAGATTATCTAAAAAAATTGTGTGCATGATGCTGGTATATTTGTAACCTACTTTTATCACTTGTAGTTGTAGTCCTGACATGTTTGCTTTCACTGACAGGTCCAACACCAACACCTCCTCTAGACCCAACTATGGGACCACAGACCACACTGCCAACAGATGAAGCAAAACGAACCACAGGTCTGTTTCATTTTTTTTGACAAGTATACTGATATAATTTTTAAAGCGAGGCAGTTTTACTTCTTTGTTATAAATGTTATTCTCTGCCAGTGATCTTTCATTTCAAGGGAAATGTGGGGATTTCATGGGAAATGTTGGGCCAGTGATTTTAGTTAAACTGTCTTGTGGCTTATATCACTATTTATATGCTATGTAATGATAAACTTAATGATAGTTCTCATAATAAGGATACTGAGAATAATAATTATGTTGATAATGATACTGCTAATAAAAATGATAATAACGATAGTGATAATATTAATCATAATGATGATAACAATAGCAATAACAATAATAATAATAATAATAATAATGATTATGATGATGGTAATAATAATAATAATAATAATAATATATCCCTATTGGAAAGTATGTTCAGTGATGCTTCACAAACTATTAATGCTTGTTTGGTAAGAGTTTTATGGTGCTTGCAACTGCATAAGGTCATATAAACCTGCAGGACTCTAGTGGCTGTTTCCTCGTTATGTCACAGCACGGCTTGGTTTTACTTTGTAAAGGAGGAATGATTGAAGTGTATAATTCCCAGTAGAAATTCAGTATTAAAAACAGCGTTAATATTTAAAATAACACTTTCTACATTTTAGAGTAAAGATCAATGGTCTTTATGAAATTGAGAATTCTGTTAGGATCAATGGTGGAGAACAAATTCTTCAAATTAGTGCCTTTAGAATATTTCCTTCGAGTCTCTCCTAAAATTGGGCATTTTATTAGAATGGAACCCAACATAAAAGGTAATGCTATTATTACCATGACAGTCCTTTCAATATTTCAAAGTAGGCCTATGCTCAGCTTCCTGAGAAGCATTTAGTTTAAGATACATGTACCATTTTACAGTCGCTCTATCCTTAACTTCTGACTAGATATTTAACTGCCTTAGCCAGGTACCCATTCTATTCTGGGTAAAATGAAGCAAATATGTATTTATTTAAATGTCTTTCCTAAGAACACAGTATTAGGCATGAACCTGTATTTGAATCTGCAACCTTTTTTTTGTGAGTCCTGCAACCCAACCACTAGACTACAGATTCCCTTGTATAATATAAGCTGTGAAATTTTTTAATTTGCGATTGATTTTGAAAAAGGAGAGCCAGGAACTGAATGCAGAATAATAGATGTTTGTGTACTTCAACTGTAGGTTCTTGTCCCCCGGGAGAGGAATGGCAGTCATGTGCCTTCAACTGTGAAGAAGTTTGCGACTTTATGGGCCGCTCCAGTGGTGCCTGCCAGGGCATTCTTACCCAAGAAGACAATTGCATTCCTGGATGCAGACCTCCACCTGAGCTACCTCGCACTCAATGTGGGCTTAATGAAAGGCTCATTGAACCTGGTGTTTGTGTGCCAAAAGAGATGTGTACTTGCTTGAAACCGGATGGAACTGTTGCAAAGGTTGTTATCATTCATAGACCCTACTGTTTTAGATTGTTAATTGCCTATAGATGTGTGCAGCATTTTCTTTTTTAGCATTTTCCTTCTAGATTTCATGGCTAGCGGACCCATGTCGGTTCTTCTACTTATAGCACAAGTAATTTCTAGGTGAAAGGCCTATTTTAATTCATGTAGGAACATAATATTTTGTATTTTGAGGCTGGCTTGGAATCTGGTACTTGGTAATGAGAGCAAAGTGTCTTTGATGAGATTCATGAGCCTTTCTGTCAATAATGTTATATATCCCTTGCGGACACCTGAAGCTGTCTAAATTGAATATCTTTCTAAAATTTACTGCCTTCGTATTAATAACTGTAACATGTGTATATCTCACATGTCTATCACATTTCTTTCACATTCTTTTGAAGAAATTTTAAAGAAATGATTCTGTGAATGGAATTTGTGAAACACATTTACCTTCTTTGCTCCAGAATATGAATGGTTTTTGAAAGGTATGTAGTAGTTGTAGTTCCTTTTTGTCGGCATATTCAGCTGGATGTTGTTTCTGAACATATTTTGCTCTGCAGATATTGTATTCTGAACAATGTTTTGGATGTTTCTTCATTTTGGTGCTTTTTGTTTCTATCTGTTCAGCCTTTTGAAATGTGGGACAACCCAGAGCGTGAGTGCTCTAGCTGCAGCTGTTTCAATGGAGAAGTCATCTGTGGCAGCATGGATGGATGTAGCACAACCCCTCCTCCTCCCGGACAGACAGTGGCACCATTGCCTCCAGTATGTGGCTGGAGTGAATGGATGAATGAAAACAAGCCAAGTTTAGGTAAGGACAGCTTCCCCCCTCCTGCCCCTCAATGTTCATGGTCCATTGTTGTCAATATGTAAAAAGTTGTGTAATCAATTTGTCTGTGTTTACCTTATTTACCTTTTTCATTTTTAAAGACAAACGCTATGTGTTTCTTTTGTAGTTTTTTTACGCTGTTCTAAGGGGGCTTTAGTTCCGTTATTTTCTCCTTCAATCTTCCACCACCTGTTATCGCATCTCTCTAATTGTCCCCTCCTCCTCTCTCTCTCTCTCTCTCTCTCTCTCTCTCTCTCTCTCTCTCTCTCTCTCTTTTTCTCTCACTCTCTCTCTCTCTCTCTCTCTCTGTGTCACTGTTGGCCAGTAATTATATATGTATCACAAGGCCGTGGAATCAGGCGCTTGTCATTATTTTGCATAAAATAATATTATTGGTATAATCTGAAAACCTGTTCAATTATCTTTCTTTTGATGATAAAAATTTTCATCTATCTTGAATGCAAGTCATGATTGGAGGAGGTGGTGGTCAAGTGGTGTCAGAGGTAAAACCACAGAATTCTACACTAATAGAACGGGAACTGTACCACGTGACCTGTGAGGAATTGAAGACTGAAAACAATGGCGTCTTGAGGGCACGATTTATCGTTTTCGGAAGTAACCCTATAGCTTTTAAAGCAAGAGCGGATTTTACAAACGAGTGAAAAGTGGAACATTTACTGTCCAGTTTGTAATTTTGATTTACAGAATTCACTGTGCAACTAGAGATTGGAATTAAGGTTTTAAATTGTTGTGTTTTTGGGTGCAACAAGAGAAACAGCAGACATAGATCATAGAGAGTTTATAAATATAAGATCTACAGAACTGTGAAAAAAATCGTAACACGGATGGGATTGTTCACAGCACCTCTAGCTTCCCACACACATTTTGCATACGCATATGGCCTACGTAATTTTTTAGTAGCACAACTTGTTACAAGAAATTTGTTTTACACTGAACATATTTTTTCACTAGATCTAATTAATGTTCTCAAAACATGCGTTCAATAATTAGCTTTATGTCGCCAGCAGAAGTAGAAAAAAGGACGGACTTGCTTTTAAAAGAGATTTAGCTCCAGCTAAAAACCTTTTAAAAATCTGTAGAAACCATTGACTGGGGTTTTTTTGGTGAAATATTTGGCTAGTATTTATTAAAGAATTTTCTTTAAAGAAATTTCTAGAATAATATAGAACCTATAGATGTGTACAAATGTTTGAAAAAAATACTCATCGGTTAAGACGAATTGATATAGATCTAAAAGTCATTGTGTAAAAGTAGGAGAATCTAGATCTAGGTGTTCGATAGTTCAGTAGCCTAGATATTTGATAATAAGTTGCGCATCAAATTTTTGACCGCATGCTACAGTATAATTATGATTATAATGTAAGATTCCAAATCTGACGAATATATTATTAAATAGCGTATAATGCTGAGTTAGCCAATGCATTGCAATGCGCGCTATTATCAATTATTGAATTGTAACTAGACTTCAATTTGATCCGTAACAAGAGACCACTTATTTTTTTATACGTGTTCATGAATGTGTGTTTGTTTATTGTGTGCGGGGATTAAAAATTAAAGATTAAAGATTCCAGATCTGATGAATGTATTTATAAAATAACGTAATAGTGCTGGGTTAGCCGATGCCTTGCGATACACGCTTTTATCAATTAATTGAATTGTAACAGGACTTCGACTTTTCTGCATTTTTGTGTTTTTGGCAGCATGTACAATAGGCCTATGTATTTTATGTGCAACCGACACATTCTCTAATCTCTACTCTTGTATTTGTTAGACTCGCACGTGCTTTAAACAAAGCATGTTGTTGTACACACTACTGATGCAAACACAGATGAATTCTTAAAGTGAGAAATAATACATTTCCTCAATATAAGCTCAATTTATTTATCTCTTTCTAGTAAATTGGAGAAAAGGCTTATATTATTCTTTTTTGCTTGCTTTGGATGGCCTTAAGTTTAATGACAATATTATTGTAGTGAGCATGTTACTGTCAGCGTCGCCTTATCGTAGATCTAGTACTTATCAAGACTATATCTAAATATTTTGCCAACAGAATTAATGTTCATAATTAGTGTTATTATCAAGTGTATTGTGATTGTGAAGATCTTTAGTAGATCTAGATATCTTGAGATCTAGATCTATCTAGTTCTAGATCCCATCCCATCATTTAAAAAAACAACAAACCAACAATACAAATACAAAAACATTGTAACATTTCCAATTATGACATATTGTTGGCAATAAAAATGTACTAGACTATTTCACTATATTTCTTCTTCGAAGAAAGTTTTAAAATACTGATGTAGGGTGTCTTCCAAGCCCTACCACTAGCATCAGCGTGCATAGCAACGCAAAGCCTCGCTGTGCGGCGCAGCCAAAGGTGCCCTCAACCGGCCGCCATGTTTTAGTTTCAATTCCTCACAGCGAATCGGCGATCGCGAAGAGGGAGTTCCGCTTCTATTAGTGTAGAATTCTGTGGGTAAAACTAACGAGAAAATTGCCGCCAAAGTTTGGAGACTTCCAAAGCTTCAATATCTTTGGAAATTGCAAATTTATATGTTTTGTGGCTTTTATTCAATATCTTTCAGTAAAAGTGTTGAGCAGAAAAATGTCAGTTTCTTTGATTTTATTATATTGCAGAGCACCTTAGAACACCATGATGCAACACATTTGTATTTTACATTTTTTTCTATCAATTAAGGTTCTGGTGGTGATATGGAGCTGCTATCAGCTCTGAGGCCGAGGTATAATCTATGTGATCGCCCAGTGAGGATAATGTGCCGAGATGTAGCTCTGAAAAAAGAGGCAGCAGATTCTGGGCAAGTGGTGACTTGTGACGTGAATGAAGGCCTCAAGTGCTTTGATTACAACAACCCTGGGAGATGCGATGACTATGAGATCAGTGTTTACTGTGCATGTACTCGTAAGTCCATCATATATCCATAACTTTTGGAAACCTGTCTTTAGCCTGAACTCGCTTTGAGGATTTTGTTTTGCCAAGGATCAAATTATATTTATTTCATTAGACTCTTCTGTCCTTCTGAATAGCTGCATCAACTGTAATCGTCTATTGGCTCAAGAAAAGGATATTGCTACATAGCATAACGACTTGCAAATAGTATGTGTGCATATTGTAGAGGCAAAAAAGCAAAAATTAATTTTTTCAATATCTGTAGTTAACCTGCAACCGTGCAGGTGAACTCTTTACTCATATAATTTACATGCTGTACATTGTCATTTAAAGGCTAACTGCTAGCTGTTTACACAATATATTTTGGCCTTGCTGTTTTCATTCTTTTCAGCAACGCCAGCTCCGAATGAAAGCGGTCTTGGTTCTCCAACTCCCAAACCATCTCCCTCGTGCACGTCTGGGTGGTCAGCTTGGATCAACAGAAACTCACCAATAGGCTCCAATGGGGACCAGGAGAAGATGACCCCTGAGGAATTGTCCAAGTTTTGCCCAGGTGGAGCTATCACAGATATCCAGTGTGTTGATTCAGATACGTTGGATGATTCCACCAGTCTGGCAGAAGCAACGTGTTCTGTGGAGGATGGACTTTCTTGTACAAACATTGATTTCATTCCTCCTTGCAGAGATTACAAGATTCGATACATGTGTAACTGTTCAGGTGAGAGGGTCTGGGAATTTGATTAATATTGATATGTTGCCTTCTAGTATTGTCAGTGGACATTTTTTCAGTGAAGAGCCTATCACTTTTGTCAGTTCTTGTCCAGCCTTTTGGTGGTACCTTGTATGTATTTTAGAGTCACAATTTTTTTTTTCTATATTGACTTTGGTTTAGTTTCAAGTATACTTTTCCCCCTTTTTTCATCTTCCTTATTTGTTTGTTGTTACTGTAGTATCCCGTTTAGATCATTTTTGCTCACTTATGTGGCTGCATTGACAATTTTTAAATTTGGAAAAATAATAGGTTGTAATATTATAGGCCTACTTTAAAAAAAGATATTTAAACAGTTATATTACTCTCTCCCAGGGGTTTTACATGCTCAAACAATTCAGTCTTGCTCATTATCATATATAATTGTAAGGGATTCGTGTACATTGTATTTCACATAGAGGTAGGTATTGTCAGGTCACATTTTTTATTTCCTCAGTCAGAAAATTGTTGTGTTCACGATGTTCACAAAGGAGTATTTCCTATTAACATCACTTATTTGAAGGGAGCACAAACATTTTTCTTCAGCTCGGTCCGACGTTGTGTCCTTGGGAAAGGCACTTTACACGAACTTCCCACTTGGCTCGGTCCTATCGGAGACGGACGTTAAATTAGGAGGTCCCGCCTCTTAAATAACTTAATAGTGTTAATAGGGGCGTTAAACTCATACCATTTCATTTTTCACAAAACATTTTTCTGTTACATTGTAAATCTACATATGATAGACACACAGACTGTGTTGATGATATGAATAGAACTACATGTTGAAATCACAGGTCTTCCTTCACCTTTTCTTTAAAACTTTTTTCACATTCTATTGGGATTTGTAGGACATCTCCATTTTTATGTAATATATCTTTTCCAGGCGCTCAGCCTACTCCGTCCCCCCAGGGAACTGTGCTCTCCACTTCAAAGCTGCTCTCATCAAGTAGTACAAGAGGACCCAGCACTCCTGCACCACAACCAGTATCTGTCATTACCACAACCCCTGGACCTGCTCAAGCTTGTACACCAGGCTGGTCTTCTTGGATCAACCAAAATTCTCCTGTTGGCACTGATGGTGATTATGAAAAGATGACCAAAGCTGAACTGTCCGCCTTCTGTCCAAATGGTCAAGTGACAGATATTGAGTGTGTAGATTCAGACACTGGTGATGACGCTACCAGCCTTGCTGAAGCTGAATGTAACTTGGAAGATGGTCTGTCATGCACCAACATTCCGTTCGATGGAATCCCTCCATGCAGAGACTATCAGATCAGATACAAGTGCAACTGCTCTGGTAAGTTCTTTTTTCGTTTATCATATGTGAATCATCGTGGTGAACTCAGGAGCTTGTCTAAATGATGAAATTGAAGTTGTGGGCGTTTTTCTGATGGTTTTGGCAACTTTTATCGAATTAAAAAAAAATGTTAGCTCAACATCTTTTATGTTCATCTAAAAACGCATTGCTGTGTGGATTTTACCAAAAAACATTGATTAAAAGCACAAGAACTATACATTTTCAGTTTTCAAGAGCTCTCAAGCCATCAAACTTTGGCGGCCATTTTCTCGCTAATTTTACTTCTGAAAGCAGGCAACCCTCACCTCCTTTAATTGCAAATATCTCGACATCTGTACGAGATAGAAGGGCATTTTTTCATCCAAAGCAAGGCAAATGAATAGGTTTTAAGTGTATACTCCATATGCCCCAAAATTGACAAGCGCCCGATTCCACTACGTCGTGACACATATTTTTATGTATCATGACGCATTGGAATAAGGCGCTCGTCAATTTTTGGACATGTGGAGTTATTGGTATAATTTTAAAGCTTGTTCATTTGTCTATCATTTGATAAAAAAATACTCAATTAACATAAATAAAAGTCAAGATATATATATGCAATTGAATGAGGTGGGGGTCACCTTGTTTCAGCCGTAAAATAAGCAAGAAAATGGACATCGAAGTGCAGTGACTTTCAAAGCTTGAGAGTCCTTGGAAACTGAAAATTGCATTTTTTGTGCATTTAATCAACGTTTTCAGAAATATTACACAGATATGTATTTTTAAATGGAGATACAAGATGCCGAGCCTAAAACCAAAATTTGATAAAAGTTGCCAAACTGTGGGGAAAATGCCGGAATCTTTGATTTCATTAATTTGACGAACGCCTGATTTCACCACAATGCCTCACATATTTGCTTTTGTGGTATTTACTTCTCTCACAAAGTTTCAATGCTGCATGACTTACCCTCCATACAGAGACTACCAGATGAGATACATGAGAAAATCTATCTCTTTGAGTTCATTATAATTTTAATGAGCGCCTAATTTCACCACGATGCCTCACATATATCTTTTCCAGGCGCTCAGCCTACTCCGTCACCCCAGGGAACTGTGCTCTCCACTTCAAAGCTGCTCTCATCAAGTAGTACAAGAGGACCCAGCACTCCTGCACCACAACCAGTATCTGTCATTACCACAACCCCTGGACCTGCTCAAGCTTGTACACCAGGCTGGTCTTCTTGGATCAACCAAAATTCTCCTGTTGGCACTAATGGTGATTATGAAAAGATGACCAAAGCTGAACTGTCCACCTTCTGTCCAAATGGTCAAGTGACGGATATTGAATGTGTAGATTCAGACACTGGTGATGACGCTACCAGCCTTGCTGAAGCTGAATGTAACTTGGAAGATGGTCTGTCATGCACCAACATTCCGTTCGATGGAATCCCTCCATGCAGAGACTATCAGATCAGATACAAGTGCAACTGCTCTGGTAAGCTCTTTTTTAGTTTATCTTATTTGTTTCTTTGGTATTTACTTCTCTCACAAATTTCAATATTACATGACATACCTTCCCTGTAGAGACTACTAGATGAGCTACGAGTGAAACTGCTCTGGCATTCACCCTTTGAAACTTTTTTTTCATAAATTGCTCCTTCTCAAAGTAATAAAAAGGAATTTCAGAATCAGTAACAAGACATTCACTGCATTGCAGGAAATGCAATTGCTAACTCCATCCAAAACTATTTAATGAACAGTTTTTACTTTTAAAAAACTGTAAATGGTATTCCTTCTGTGATGTTCCATATTGTATTATAAATAGAAGATTATTTTCCATTCTTATGGTTATTTTAAAAAAGAAATATGTTGTTCATATATCTTTTAAAGCTCTGTATTTTGATATAATAATCTGCATATGAAGTTAGTTGTGATTATGGGATATCTTTTTTAGGCGTTACGTCTTCCCCATCAAGTGTCGGAACATATAACAATCCAAGCTCAACACCTTTGTCAAGTAAGTGGGATAAGAAAGAAAGTGTTTAGCTTTTTCCAGCTGATGTAGATGTTGCGATCTTTATCTGGTGATTACAATTGTTTGAAAGCCTGGATTAACTCATTCGCTACGCCAAGCCGTGGGGGGCGGCGCGGCTAAAGTGCCATCAGTAAGCTAAGCTGCCCCAGGCGGCTCGAGAACCGATCTTCAATTTTAGCTTAGATTCTATTCCAATCCACATATCCATGTTAATATAAAGGTCATGATATAATGTTGACTTGCGGGTCAAGCATTTCCACTGAAAATCGGAAACTTAGATTCAGCTTTGAAACGCGATTTCGTAGTTTATTCGACTTTGTTTTATCGCGATGCCAAAATTATAGCCCGGACACCAGTCTTAGTTATTTTACACAACAAAATCTATCATTATTTTGCTCACTAAAGAAATGTAGGACTCTTTTTTGTAATATTGATATGATTGGACTCATACTGCCAATGCACTGTTATTGAGAAATCAATATTTTTGAGTGCTAGATCTAGATCTAAATTGTCAAAATATTTTTTTCTACCCAAAATCACTTTTTTAAAATGAAACTACATAAAAAGTGCCACTCAAGACATGTATGGGTTTGTTCCAAATGCAATTCTGAATAATTCCATTTAAGATCCGAGTGGGTTTTTTTCTGTTTGTGATCGTTTTTCAAGATTATAAATTTTTTAATTTTTTTTCAATATCGGATGTTATGTTCAAAATGTACAAATATTATGGAATTTAGGTAAATAACTGCAAACTTTTCAATATTTTCCAGTTCTATATTCATTTATGGTTATTTTGATGTATCATTTGACAAGGTGCAAACATTTTTTGAGTTTCACCAAAGATTATTAATTTTTTATTTTCAAATTTTATCCGCATGCTATCAAAATTGTGTTGCATAATCGTCGTTTACAGGAACCAAAGTTAAGAAATATATAAATAAACATTACATATGTATTCTACAAACCATACTGAAAATATTGGTATATAATACGTTGATATTTATTTGAATTTGTGGCCCCAAAGACCTTTTAACTGCCCACTAGTCATCATCTCATTCGCCTTCCCGAAAAAAAATTTGTCCACAAGCCGAAAATAATACGTAGCGAATGAGTTAACCTGTGCATGCTCAGGCAGACACATACAAACTCACACACATACACACACACACACACACACTCACACACACACACACACAAACACACACACGCACACACACATACACACACACACATACACATACACAAGCACACACACATACACAAACACACACATACACATACACAAACACACACACACACACACACACACGCGCACGCATTAGCACACACACACTCTCACACATGGGCATACCGCAAATTTGTACAAGTTGAAATTTATTTGCCAGTGTTTCTTTCATGAAATTAGTGAATATTATCACAAGTTGATAAGCCAATATTAATGATTAATTAATGGTGAAGATACCACTAGGGGGCATTGATTTTGTGTTCAAAGTTATCGGTTCATTTTATGTATTTATGGTTTTTTGTTTTGTCCAAATTATGTTGACTATTTTTTTAATGGCCTGAATTGTTTATATTGATGAAATGGAAAGACAATTTAACATCCTACAAAAATTGATATGCACTGGGAATAACGTTCAGTTCTGAAGTATAATGAATACTTTCTATTACATCCGCAACTTCTTATCTTACTTTGATAAAACTAACCTTTAGCTTGAACTTTGACCGTGAAGCCATTCTGTAGAAGAACAATTTTACAATGTTAAGCAAGGAAGAAGTGTCCATGTTTTCCTCTTGATCTTTTATTGATACACCATGATGCACATTTTTAAGAGGATATTCATATCCATTTTTCTGTGTTTTAGACTCCCCTGTGTGTGGCTGGACCATGTGGATGAATGGGCACACCCCAAGTCCTGTGGGAGAGGAGGAGAGCTTCACCAGCTTGAGGCAGAAGTATGCTTTCTGTCAAACGTCTGACATTACTGCAATTGAGTGTAGGGATGCTGCTACAGGGAAATCTGCTCAAGAAATGGGCCAGGTATATTCGCCTTTGTCCAATTTTGTGCTAGTTGTCAGTTATTTTTCAGATAAATTCATAGAGAATGGCCTGACGAAGCACTATTTTGGGGCAATCGGTGTTTTATGTTTGCTCAAAATTTGGAAAGCTCAGATAAAGTGAAAAGTGAGTGTACATTTGCTTTCTAAATTTGCTCAGGTGAGAATGTATGTGAGATGGAATGTTCTTGTCATTTTGTTAATCTTTTAGCCTTACTTTCCATGATGAAAAAGAAGAGCATTCAACTTGTAAGTTTTTCTAACTTATGTTCCTCCCTGTCATTTTGCTAGGTGAACGTGGTGTGTGACAACAACTACAGTGGCCTGAAATGCTTGAACGCTGACCAGCCCAATGGACAGTGCTTGGACTATGAGGTCAGATTCCTCTGTGAACCGAAAGGTGCTAGCTGCAAGCCAAATGCATTTACAAATGGTCCGTTGCCTGGAAGTACAACCACAGGTGAGTGAAAGTTGTGATTTATGTCGTAGCCTACTTATGAATCAGGTGGCATAAGATTTTAACCTGATTATTTTATATATTCCTTTACTGTAGGTATAGTTCTTTTAATTACTTTTTTTTTTCTGTATTCCCCTGGGGTGTCTTTAAAATGATCAATTTGATATTGGTTCTATTGTAATGAGTGATTCTAGCTACTTGTAGTTCATAAGGTGGTATGGTGACTGAGAGGACCTTTTCATATATTAAAGTTCAAGGTATCACTCCAAACGTTGAAGTTTAAAAACTTTTAGTTCCTTAGAACTGATATATATGTGCTAGCAGACCAGATTATTTCTCACAGAAGCCAATTTCATCTTACATAAGCTGCCAAGGCAGCCTTCAGAAAGGTTTAGACAAGGAGAAGTTGGTGAAAAACTGGGAGTTCTTGAAGAGGGTTGTGCATAGATACAATTGGGAAATGTAACTGTGTACATGACTATTTGTCCATGAAAAATTAATTTGAAATGTGAATGTTTATGCAATTTTGATAAGTAGGGGCACTTTAGCAATATTTCTGTTCTGTTCCTATAATCTGAGGGATTGTCATATTGTTAAATGGGACTGGCTTTTTCAGTGAAATTTTTGGGGTGTTTTTTTAATAAGTTGTTTTCAGCCTCTGTGCCTCATATTGTTGTCCAAATTCTTCGTTCTTATGGAAGTAAATGTCTTGAAACTCAGATAATATAAAAATTCTCAATGTCAAAGAGGATATTTTTGAATTCTTGAAGAATATTGTTGTTTTATTCTGACAGATTCACCTGTACTTGCTGGCAGTCCCACTTGTACATCTGGCTGGTCTAACTGGGTCAATGAGAATTCTCCTATAGGAAGTGATGGTGACAAAGAAAAAATGACAGCTGATGAACTGAGAAACTTTTGCCCTGGAGGAAGCATTACAGATATTAACTGCGTAGATTCTGATACTTTGGACGATTCTGCAAGTTTGGCTGAAGCCTCTTGCACAGTGGAAGATGGTCTGTCATGCAAAAATGACCCAATCATAGGCATTCCTTGTCGAGATTACAAAATCAGATACATGTGCAATTGTTCAAGTAAGTATACTGCCACAAGAGTATTCAGTATCCTAACTTTTGTATGTGTCACTCCTTTTATACTTTTGTCATGGTTTTGCCTAAGTAAATAAATGGTGGCAAAAATTGCAAGCAGAGACAAGAGTGTAGAAGCTCCTATTGTAGTGGACCTATGGTTATATCTGGTCTCCCATCTTGCAGTACTTTGGATTTTAAAATGTTATTTCTTGAATTAAAATGTATATAGATAAGAAAAATCCAAACTTGTCATATTGTAATTTTATTCCAGTATCTGAGTTAAAACATCCAACTATCTCTCAGTGCAGTAAAAAAAAAGATGCTTAGTCTTTTATAAATAAGTGTACGAACATTTTAGTCTATTGCATGCTTATTAACAGCATTTCAAAATGTTTTTCTTGCATGTCAAGGTTCTACCAGTCATTCAGTGGGAAAACGTAGTGTGCATCATCTTGCGGATGCTCTGCCTTCTTCAAACATTCCAGGTAAGGTGTATTACACAGTGAATATGAATAAAAATTTGTCAAGAGCTTAACTGGTACGCCAAATTAGTGAAAAATATGAATTTCAGAAGGAATTTTTTCTTGAATAAACTAGAAGTCTTGTGTTGGGAATCATAAATCGATCACATTTTTTAACCAACTTTAAGCAAAAATTGCTTTGATTTATATTTTAGGATTTTAAAACTATTTCAGGCTCATCTGCACTAATAGGAAGGAAAAATGTATGCATTTTATTTATTTTTCAAAATTTTAGTGGAATGCCTTTCGAACATGGGACTTAGGAGCGGCCTCGTGCGCAACAACATGATTACAGCTTCATCATTCAGGGACACTTACCACTCACCACAAATGGCTCGATTGGATTCACAAGGCAGCTGGTTGGCAGCCATTGATGACTTGAATCAGTATATTCAGGTAAATCTTTCATCAAGATATATAGAAGGCAATATAATATTTGTTTGGGGAAAGGGGGTGAAATTATATTATTTTGGACTTGCACATTCTTTTTGTCTTCGTGCTTTGCACTAGAGGTCTCTTTTAATATATAGGAATAGCTAATACACAATTTGCTTTATGCATGCCTTGATTAGATTTTCCAAAAATTGTAATGTATTCTCAGAAATGTCAGCCCCTGATAATAGAATTTGAAACATCAGTCTTCAAGAACAAAACTTTCATATTATCATTTGAATTCCGTGATCAAAATTAGATTCTTCTTTGGATGAGATGTACCATTTAATGTGTATGCTGTATACAAGAATAAAACATTTCCTGCTTCTTTTCAATCAGGTGGACTTTTTGACGCCAGTCTACCTGACAGGTCTAACAACACAAGGACGACCTGATGCTCCATCTTTCGTTAAATCATATAGAATTCTGCACAGTCTTGATGGTATCAACTGGAACCCTTATCAGGAACAAAGAGGCATTGATATGGTATGATATTAGGTCACCTGTCACCTGTACATAATTTTTAGAGATGAGGAAGACTTTTTTGAATTTTCAACAATTTTTGTTCTCATGTAAATTTGAAGAATTTTTAACTCTTCATCTCCGAGGGGGTAAACCCACGTTACTATGCCAGGGCGCTTTTTTGGTACTTAATCTAAAAAATGACAAAAACATCACTAAATCACTAAATTGGTCATTAAATCAAAACAGGTGAACCTACTTTGATGGTTCTTCATCTTATGAATGAAATCCCAATAAAAGAGACCTGTTATCCGCAATTGCCCAAAAAATAATTGGATGTTGAAGTTGTTGTAAAGGAATGCGCCCGAGCCGCTCACCGGCACAGCAGTTCCGACTGCGAGCCCCTGGGAGCAGCTTGTTAGAGATAAAAAGTTAATAGAAGTTGACTATCTTCTATATCTTTTAAATTAGTAAATTATGTAGTGAGGGAGGATATCTTGAGATCAAATGCTTGGTGATTCAGAAAGGGATAACTGATGATAATAATAATAATAATAAATTGCATTTATATAGCGCATTTCCACAAAGAAGTGCTCAATGCGCTGTACAATAATACAAAGAACATATGCAGCGCATAGCCTCTATAGTAATCCTCTTTCTCTCTCTCTCTGTGTCTTTCTCTCTGTGTCTCTCTCTGTCTCTCTCTCTGTCTCTCTCTGTCTCTCTGTCTCTGTCTCTCTCTCTCTCTCTCTCTCTCTCACACTCTCTCTCTCTCTCTCTCTCTCTCTCACATTCTCTCTCTCTCTCCAGTACATCCTTGAGTAAAGACAATCCCACAAAATTTACCCATACACCCACGTACACATTGATGACATCACACAGTCATAAATTGTTACAGAACAGAACAGCATGAATAAACGATACTGAGAGAACATAATAGATTCTGAGAGAACTTAATAATATTTGTATTGGGAATGTCGGGAATTACAAATTGAAGCTGCACTGAAACAAATGCGTTTTAAGTGCTGATTTGAATTTTGTTAAAGTGATAAGACTCCCGTAGATGAGCTGGCAAAGCGCTCCACTGGGAGGAAAAAGCTCCTCCTCCGAGTCTCTGACTTTTGGTTCGGACAGGTCTTAAAAGTCTTTTCTTCGCCGATCTTAAAGGCCAAGATGGTATATATTCGATGACTATGTCACAAATATATGATGGTGCAATGTTGTTGAGGGACTTAAAACAGAGATTTACATTTTGCTCTGAATTCGTTTCTAACTCAGTAATGAAAGAACAAAAATGTTCAGTTTTTGAAAAAGATGCTCAGTGTTGGAGGAACTACAAATTTTTACCAAATCTGCATAGCTGCCCTCTTTCTTGTGATATTATACTGTATTTAATTAGTTTGTATTCAGCTTCAGAATCTTTTGTACTTTGGTTTCTAACTCAATTGTATTTGTTGAGCTTTCAGTGTGTGTGTTGTGTACAATGTTGGGAAATATTCTCCACAGATTTTCGAAGGCAATACAGATATTTTTACACCTGTTAAAGTTCTGTTCAAGCATCCAGTTTTGACAAGACTGTTGCGCATTCAGCCAGTGTCTTGGCATGGAAGGATTGCCATGAGATTTGAAGTTCATGGTTGTTCCACGGAGTATCCTTGTAAGTGAAATGCTGGGATAAAATACTTAATGTAAAGAGACCAATTAACATTTTATTGAACCTTTAAGACAATAAGCTGAAAGCCTTAAAATAAAGGACAGAAGTTTCTTTTGAGATATCTGTTCAAGAGCAGCACTAGTGTCACAGAGAGACTGATGGGATCCATTTTTCTTTATTTATTTAAAGTCTGAATTCCCCTGGGTATGTTTGATCTGGGTGTCCTGCATAGAGAATACAGAGCTGAGAGGAATGCTTTATGTAATAAGATCATAACAGCATGTAAATGGGTATATGCGTGTAAGGACCTTTTCATTGTTAAATTTCTCAAAACAGTGATGAATATTTTATTTGTCTTTAAAAAAATATTGTTGTTTTATGGTAGCATTTACTTAGATTAAATATTGTCAATGATAAAGGTAATACACTAGAAGTGCTTGGCGTTTCACCGGAAGTAACCTGCCCAAAATGCCCCGCGGCCATGGCGGATCAGTTGTAAACATGGGGGTTTGTTGGGGGGATGTCAGCTGAGACACCAGAGATGTATACACTTGCTCCTGAAAAATGACCATTTACGGCTCAACAAATGATAAAAGGCATAAAACCATATTTTTTCTTAACTCTTTTTATCCTAGCCGTACCCCCACGGACTCTGTACCCGTCCTGGGGCCGCCGCGCCGTATGAGTCGGAAGTCAGTGCGTATAGTTCAAAGTGCTATATTTCTTACTTTTACTCTAGGTTTTAAAGGAAATTTGGCAGTTATGTTAGAAATTGAATGTAGTTTTTGTAAATGTATGTGGTTAGGAAATACACCAATAGCACAATGTAGATTTTGAGGTGTATTCCACCCTCGAACTTGACCCTGATTGCCGCGCCCACGACGTCCCACTGGATTTTATAGATCTAGATCTAGCTCTACCCATCGAACACGAATTCCAGTACTGACCCCTTCACCATGATCTGAATCGCTATTAGATGAGTCTTAGTCATGTTTCTTATCATCCACAACGGAATTTACGGCACTTATTTCAGAGTCACTATCATCAAATTAGTATCATTCCCCCTCACAACCCAGCGCAACTTCAAAAAGTACTTCGTCGGTCGTGAATGTACGTTTTCGAGACATCTTTCAGGCTTCTACACCTATCAAAAACAAAGAAACCACTGTTCATTGGAAAATTAAAACATTCAGACAGAGCTAGCATCGCCGTATTTGCGTATTTTGGTAATTACAAGCAGAACTAGCTTCTTTGACGAGACCGTATCGCTGTTCCGAGAATACTCGTAGCCCGGACTGGTCCTAGTTACAAGTATACTCGTAGCCCGGATAAAAAGAGTTAAAGCTGATAGAATGAGCCATTCAAAAATGATATGCGATCAAATAAATACAAACAAAGTGCAAAATGCGGTAAACTCAACAATTAGTACATTAGCACAGCAGAACAAGTGATAACACAGCGTGTAGTCGATCTGCTGGAGCGCGTCACTTTATCGATTGATATCTTGGCCAAGAGACGCTCTACGAGGTCAAGATAACTTGCAAAGTCATTGGTCACTATTTATAACTTTGACCTGTAATTTACTAAGTCATTCTCCATGTAAGGAATACTGAAATTTTCCATTGAAAAAAGTCAGGGTCCTGGTCGAAGTAGGTCAGCCCTATATGTAGGGCTTGCGCGCTTCCAGGGTTAAAAAGCAACAATGAAAATTTCCTGATCCTCTCTATTTCAGTGACAGCACCATTACAACTGGACTCACAGATGTCTCAGATGTCTGAGCCGACTGAGGATCTGGGTATGTTTTTCTCTTTTTTTCATCTGTTTCCTTGAAGCAAATGTAATTTCATGACTTTGACCCCTCTGATTACTTCAGAGAACGTCTTTGTCTTAAATTGATTTAATCTGCTTGCCTTCCAGCAGTTTTAAGATTAAAATAACATCTAGCATCTTTTTCATGAGGATTTCAAAAGATCTTTAGATTCCTTCATTGACGACTCATTGAGACCAGAATTGATATCCACAGTTTTGCGGTATTGATTTTTTTTTTTTTTTTACAACTGGACTACTTCCACAACATGTGTCATGAAGCAGTCGATATTGCATAAAATTTTGCAGTAAAGTATGCTGAAATAAAAACAATGTTAATCATATTGTAGTTTATTTTGAATACTCTTGCCTTGAGGCTTCTTTTTCTCTTCAGTTGTTATTAAGTGTGAAAATGGTTGTGTTTTAAAATGTACTGATACTACAGACTGTGCTGTAAGATATCTAGAATAGATCCATTTTGGAAAAATTGATTTTTAAAGATATGTTGAATGACATACCATTAAAACAAACACTCATTTCGTTATCTGTTTTCTACTCTCTAATGGCAGAGCCCAGTGGACAGTACTTACCCATTCCTTTCTAAAGCTTATACAAGTACTGATTTTTTCATCTTCTCTGTTAATGCAAAAGTGAATAAGTGAAACAAATTCTATAACATTTTTATAACTTAAAAAATCCATCTTCCCATCAGATAAATGCATTGTGTGGGATGACTGGCAAGATTTATCTCAGCCTGGACTAACTAGCAAGAATGACATTGAGCCCATTGAAGATCTAGTGAGGATGTCTCCTTCATGCAAAGACCCTGTCCAGATTGAGTGCCGAACAGCTACCCCTGATCTCAAACCTGCCCAAAATAGTGGTCAGAATGTTGTCTGCAATCTCTGGGATGGTCTGCGTTGCACAGCCGATAAGGCTAATACTTCAATGTGCTATAACTATGAGGCCCGCCTTGGCTGCTGGAAGTCTACTGCAGAATGTTGTACGTATTTTTACTCTATTTCTGTTATGCTTTAGAAAAGTAAACTAGTGTTAGTTCAGTGTGAGAGTGCTACACACTTTCCTCAAAATAGAACAAGGTATATATATGTAAATATGTATTGATTCTGTCTGGACTTTGTGGGCTTTCCTTTCTATACGACGCTACAAAAAGCCAGGTTTTATTATTCAAAAGTTTCATTCCAATGGTTTAATTTCTTTTCAAATTTCAATCAAATGCAGCATTTTGATTTATAAAGAACAAAGCACTTGGATCTTTGGTTTATTGAGTGGGAATGGGCTGTCGAACTTCTTTATGCATTAATGAACAATGAACCTTACCTTCTATGGAAACCATGAACATCAGCAACTGATAATGCAAGCCTTTTAATAACATTGTATTTTCATAGAGACAAAACCCAAAGGAGAAGGGGCTAAATGTAGAAGCTGACCGAGCAGAACAGTTTGAGTAGGATAGAAATAAAAGGCAAAGATGATGTCAGAAGCCTTGGGCACTTACATACAACATTAGTGATTGAAGGTGCTTGGCAGTGAATTAACACAGTGCTCTTCTTTTTGACTAGCTTCGAATTCTGCCATTTAATTTTCTATTCTTATTTTTCCAGTGTCCAAAAGGTCCACTGAACCGAAGAAAGTATCGTCAGCATTGAGAGAAGCAAGGATGTGCTTCTCTGGCATGGATTCTACTCACTGTCCCCACATGGGCTGTGCAAATGGCTTGTATTGCAACGGTGTCAAATGTGTTCCAAGAAATGAGTGTCCATGCATGGTTGATGATACAGTTATCAGAGTGAGTGAAGAGTTTTGTTTTTAATTGTAAATTATAAGACTTACTACTACTTACGATGCATCTTCTTGGAAACTTCAAGAAAGATCCAAGTTCCTTTACTATCATTACCACGGTGAAATACTGCTCTTTATGAATGCAGTTATTATCTGTAGCTTGATAAGAGAGGATGTTAGACACAGAATTATGACTTTCAGTATGTTCCAAATTTCAGTTCTGAAGTAGTAGCTTAATTTTGACAAAAAAGCATAAGTATACAAACATCTTTTTTAAAGCAAAGCTGACTACAATGCTCTTTGACTTTCCATCATTTGTTTACCGTATCCTGTTCATGCAACTTTCTATTCATTGTTAAAAGAAGATGTAACTTGTACCTTTCGTTGAAACTATGTTTAATATAAGATGTTATCATTATCCCTAACCCATGCATTCAAGTAGGTCAAATAGCTGTGATATTTGACCCAGTTTTCCGTATAATTTTGGGATCTTGTATTATTGTAAGCTAAGAAAACATAAGTTTAAAGGATTGTGTTTTTGACCCTTTCAGCCGGGAGCTGTTGTTCGAAATAAAGACTGTGAAACATGTCAGTGTATTGGAGGAGAAGTTCTTTGCATGCCAAAAGTCTGCCCAGCCTGTCAGGTGGTGAGTATCAGAAGAACAGTGTCAAGTATGATTTTGAGAGACATTTGGGCTATGTGTAGGCCTTTGTATGTATGCATATGTGTATGTGTGTGTGTGTGCATGTGTGTGTGTGCGTGCGTGCGTGCATGTATGTGTGTGAAAAGGGGGACAGGGGTTACTGCTTAATTTTATTCTTTAAGTTGAATGTTCTGCATGCTTTCCATTTCTTTGTGATTTGGGCTGGAAGCAGGCTTTAAAAAAAATTTACATCAACAGAAAGGATCTTTTACAATTGTTAAGGATCATCCAACCTATAGCCTCAAGAATGACTATAAAAGAATGAATGAAACAGTATAATAGGCTTAATACTAAAAGAGATGGTAAGCAAATTTCATTAAGGGAAGTTTGTATGACAACTCCTTCAAGCATATTTCCCTTTCCTAAACTCCACGTGTTCTCCATCCAGGGAGAGTCCCAGCTGAACAAAGAGACATGTAGCTGTCAGTGCAATACCTGCAGCTCCGGGGAGTTCCAGTGTGCCACTGGATTGTGCATTCCGGCAGAGAAGCGTTGTGACGGTGTCATTGATTGTGCTGATGATGAGCACAATTGTGGTAAGCTGCCTTGATTTTAATTGACTGAACACCTGGTGTGATACGGGTTTGCAATGCTTAACATTTAGGGTCTTGGGGAAATGCTCCCTTTTTAATTCTCACATGCACAAGTGTGGATTCACTCAAATTTTCTGATGCACCAAATTGAATTTTAACGTTTTTTTCAACCTCAACACCAAAGTTTGACTGAGATTCATAGTTATATTTGTTAGCTTCATATATGAGTTAATACAAAACAACTTTTTCACTTTGCTTCCTTTATCCTTTGTTGTATTATTATAATGAAATAAATAGAACAGTGTAGCAGTGTAGAATTTCTGTTCCCCTTCTTTTCTTTCAGCACATACAGCTATTTTTGTTCGCAAAGTACAGCCTGAAAAAAGAAAAGGTAAGTCATACAATTTTATGCTTTTTCAGATGCTCTTTTTAAAAATTTCATTGCCAACATTTCTGAGCTCATAAAAGAATGATGTTGTATGAAAGAAATGATTTAAAGTGAATAATATTTTCGATAACACACACATCAGTTTCTCAAAGACTGAATTATCTACAAGAAATAAACATGAGTATCAGCGAATTGCTTTTATTTGTTTAGTTTTCTTTTATGGTCAGGTCTTTTAGACCCATCGTTGTCAGTAAAGAATCAACATGTATGTAAAATTGGATGAAACTATTCCGTAGAGTCGTCATGAAGAGTTTTTCCCTTGAATTGTTACAAAGAAAACTTTTTGTACCGGTACTGCAAATTCATCATTGGTCTTGTTTTTGCTTCTAGTGTTGATTATACACGTTTCAAATGATATTTTTTCAAAGTAATATTGACTCTAGTCCTCTACCATAAAATCTCAGGATAAGTTCACTTTTATCTCTTTGGAATGCTTGTGAGCTGTACTCTTTGAGAGTTATGAAAAGTAGGAAAGTTGCTTTATGTTAATTTAAGTGCTTATTTTCCCCAGGAAATTCACATAAAAAAAACCAACTGAACGTTTGTTGGTGAACTGTGTAGATTGGAAGAGAAATAAGAGACAGTGTATATAGGCTAGTCATTAAAAGTGACATGCATTGATAACTATGAAATCCTGTGGCTTATCCATAAGTTTATGTTTAGGCCTCTGATACTTTTTCTTTTTGAGTTTTTAACTTGATTTGAACTAATCCACAGGTCAAACAATGTGCCACTACACTATGGGTAATGGTCCTGTGAATTTCAAGGTAGGAATATACAAATACGTTTCATTTTTTATAACTTGGATTCATTATAAGTTAGCACAAAATTATTCTATGTATCTGGGCATATTTAAAGTAACTTGATGTAGAAACATTTGTATGGGAGCGATACAACATAAGCAGATCACTTTGCTGTAAGTTTTATAGCTTTGGTCAATTAAGCATAAAAATTTTGTGCACTCTTTTGGCTTTTTAAAAGTTGAATGTTAATTATATTTGTAAAAACAAACTGCACTGTTTAGAAACAGTCTTCGGTACTAAACAATACCCTTTAAAAAGACCATCTTTATTTCATTAACAGTGGGAAATTTCATCTCGGCTTTGTCACATTTGCGAAAGGTGTCAAAGATATTATCACAAAGAAAACACTGACTGGGAACAGTTCTCTTTAAAATTAGGCTCAAATACAGATAGCAAGTTATAGTAAGTCATTGCTAAGAGGTTGAATGTTGTCCATGACATACTTTTCTTTGGGGACTCTTCTAAATCTTCTGTTTACCACTTCCTTGGATGTGACCCTTACAGAATGCTCACAGGGTCTGCAACATCTATGAATGCAACACCATTAACACTTGCAGTACCGAAGGCTCATATTGTGAAAAACCCTTGGGTACCGCACCAGTTTAGAATGCTAAAGCTGAGGAAGAATATTTTTTAATTAAAAAAACCTTGGCAGCTCAAGAAACACGCTTTAAAAATTCAGAGAGGTTCATCAACCATTCAGCTACAATATAGAGTGACTTCCTTTGGTATTTACTTCAGTGCAGTGCGTCCATTCGTTGTTTAATTATTTTTAGTGAACCTGGTTGTGTCGGTGACTAAATTTGCCAGTGGTAGTGAGCGCAAACTACGGTCTGGAGACTAAAAGTACAGTAGAAAGTGTTAATTTGAGTTTGCTTTTGTACAGTGCATATATATATACAAATATATTCATTTGTGCTACTTCTAATTCTTACTGTCCTTCTATTAGGTGGGTGACAGCTGGCAAGATGGATTGTGCAAATTGTGCACTTGCAAGCTGACTGCGAAAGGAACTGCTGAATCAGTATGTGATGCTCCAGCCTGTCCAAAATGCCAGCATGTGAGTGAAAGGAAAGGCAACTACATAGACTGATTGCTGAAAATTAGCATTTAGACAAAACACTCTGGTCTAACTCTTTGCATGTAGCTGGCTTCTTAGGTGAATTTGTGTACGTGCAACTTGCTTTCTAACATGGTTCTTCATTTCAACTTCAAATAAAATTGACATTTCTCATTTCAAGTGCACCATCCTTACTTGTTACTTTTAAATAAAGTAAATAAATACAGTGTTTATTTTGATTTGCACTTTTAATGGTTTTCTGTTACAAAGTGTCTGATGAAACCTCTACTAAGGTTATAAAATACCCTTCCATAGTGTTTTCACAGTTGATTTTTTATTTTACTTAATTCCAAATGCGTGATTATATTAAATTACAAAATTGTCTTTCTATATTATTACCTCAGGGGGAGGTCCAGGTTCCTGTCTCTGGTCAGTGCTGTGGGCAGTGTGTAGCTGCTGGGTGTAAAGCCAATGGAAATGTATATAAGGTAAGAATACAGCAATGTGATGGATGCTGAAGTTTGTTAGCCCTACACTTCCAATCCATACATCTCTTTAAGACTTTTTATTTCCGGATCTCAGTCCCAAGATTTTGATCACGATGCTATGATTTTTATTGTAGTATCTCTATGCAATGCAGCAAAAGTCAGTCCACCAAAATCAAACTCAAAGGAATAGAAAATAAATGCATTTATGTAACTATTGTAACCACAGCTGCACAGAATATAATGCATCCAAGCCTTCTAATTGGCTTGTTTGTCTGAACTTTATGGCCTTGTTGTATTGCCTCTTTATGTAGTATATACACCATTCATTAACTGAACAAGGCTGATAATTAGTAATACATAATGTAGCAATTATGATACCAGCTTAAAGATTTGTTAGTGATTAACTTGAAATGGATGATGTGTATCTCACTATTTGTCTTTAAACTTTCACAGGTTGGAGAAGTTATACCTGGTGCTCGAAAGTGCTTCACAAAGACATGCCAGCATGATTCAGTGGAAGGTCACTACTTTGTTCAAGAGTCACAAATTGAATGCCCAAAATTGGATACTCTAAAAACTTGCACAGATGTGAGTATGTTGTGTAATGTCAGTCTGTTTACTGTTACATTTTAATTCCACAATCTTGAAATTGTGCTTTATAAATTCATTCATAATGAAATTCCTATATATGCATAGCTTTAAGAAAAGACTAAAAACAAAAGAAATGTGGGACCTGTGCCAAATTTTCTAATCCATTCTTAGACAGCAAAGTGTAATTTTTAAAAGATTTATCAACTCCTTGACTGTGCTGTCAACATATGTCATACAACTCAGTAATCCGCTGCCAGGTGCGCTGTTAACATATCTCATACGACAGCTAAAACCCTTATTTTGTTTTTGATGGTATCTCAGCTACTTCCATGTTTTGAATAAAGAGAGTGATATCGTTTTAACTATGAGATCATATTACAGACCATTAATTGACAGGAAGCATGGGTACTATAACCAGTAAAACAAAGCAAGGTGTGTTGTCTTTCTTACACACACTCTGCAGGACAGTCAGAACCGACCTGTTGAATCGGAATTCTTGTTTAGTTTCAGTGCTTTCAATGTGTTTACATTGTAATGGCTTTTTCTACGTGGGTCTTGTCAATAGCTAAAGTCATATATTTTTATTTATCTATTATTGATATAATATAGAATGACAGGAAGCATGAGCTTTGTGACCAATAAAACAAAGCGAGGTGTGTTGTCTTTCCCCTGCACATCATGCGAGACAGAGCCAATGCATTGAGTTGGAGTGCTTATTCAGTCTTAGTACTTTCATCAAGTTATTTGCAGTATTTTGCCTTGTTCTACGCAGGTCTTATCATTATCAATGAATGAATTCATCTTTTCATGAATCTCTCTCTATTGAATATATTATAGCTTTACCTATCTGTCTTTATATTAATAAGCAAACAGCTTATTAAAGAATGTGACCTGTGATGTCTTGCACATGGTAGAAATTTCCATTGGCATGGAGTGCATATGGTTTGTAGCCAAGGGGTTAAAGAATATTTCTCAAAGGGACTGCAGCTTAATTTTCTGCTCTGAAAAACTTGCATGGCTACTTAAAAATGTACAGTTTGCAGTAGCTTTATTTATTCATCAAATATTTGTTTGCCTTCCTGACATTACAGGTAGCAGACATGTTGGACTCAGATGGCTGTTGCTTGAAGTGCATTCCACAAAGTAAGTTGACAGAGAAAGCCAGGGATTCCTAATCCTTTTAAAGTTATATAATATCTTTGACCGCCTCAGAGAATCTACTTTTTATGTTGATGTCTTAATGCAGCTTGGTATGTTGTGACTTCTTTCTCTCCCCCCCCCCCTCCCCTTTCAACTTGGTCAGGAGCATAGGCCTTCAACCATTACAAAGTTTTCTACTTCCCTTGTGCTTCTTTCTTCAGCTGTATTCAAGTCTTGCTCAGTTTCTTGGCTTCTACCTCCACCTTTATCTACCAAGTTCTTCTATTCCTCTGACCTGTGGGGATTCTATCTCAGTTCCTTTTGGGTTGTATTTGTTGGGATTACATTAAAGTTTTTTTGGGAGACAATATTGAGCTGAAACTTTTAAAAATTTCACGTTAGATTTCTAAAGTGAATTAAAAATTTTTTGTTCAGCTTCCATTGTAAAATAACACTGTATTCTCTGTTCTTGAAAAGTATCTATCCTTGAGTATCAGTTCTGTCATCTGTAGATACATTAGCAATTATGACAAGGTTTTTCATTCAATTGTTTTTCAGGTATTACTCCAGCTGAAATTCCATGTGAATCTTGCAAGCCTCAGTTGATGTTTGAAGATCCAGAGAAGTCTGTTGGATTCATCAAATTGTCAAAGCCTAATGGTGTTCAATGTGAGAATACAAAGCCAATCAGAGACCTTCAAGAATGTTCTGGCTTCTGTGAGTCAAAGGATCGCTATACTGAAACTGGATTCCAGCTAAGCAGACGATGTTGTCAAGCTCAAAACAAAAGCACCCAAGTTGTAAAGCTTCACTGTTCTGATGGAACATTCTTGAGCCACGAATTGGACATACCACAGACATGTAGCTGTAGTGCATGCTGAATAACTCCTTCAACAATAGGAAAGGAACATTTTATTGAGTTTTTGTTAAATCATTGGAGACATGACTGATGAAAGGCATGCTGTGAACGATGACTTGTTGAAATAAAATGTTGCATTGTTATCTTCAGAGTTGGTAGTGATGCATATATATTATATATATATATATATATCATTATTATAGCTTGTTCACTTTCACTTTCATCTGTCAGCGGTTAAAATGGGATAAAAACAGATTGCTGTTTAATCTTCTCAGGTCTTGCATTCGGGTCTAAAAGGTGGATAAGCAACATAATGTGTAAAAGCCGATTAATGAAGGCTACTGCAAAATAAGATTTCGACATGTTTACTTTGATGTTAGCTGAAAGTAGGTTAAAAAAATAATAATAGAAAATTTACCGCATAGGCCATCCTACTAAGACATCGAAGAGTCGACATTTGTCGTGTGTCCGGACGTGGTGAAATCAGGCACTCGTCAATTTTTGGGCATATATAGTTATTAGTACGGTATCATCTTAAAGCTCGTTCATTTGTCTTGCACTAGGCGAAAAAAAATACCCATTTACCTTGAATAGAAGTCAAAATATTTACGATTGAATGAGATGGTAGTCATCTGGTATCAGAGATAAAATCAGTGAGAAAATGGCCGCCAAAGTTTGGTGACTTTTAAAGCTTGAGTGTCAATGGCAACTGAAACTTTAAGTTTTTTGTGCCTTTGATCAAAGTTTTTCAGTAAAATCCACAGACAGATGTGTTTTAAATGGACATAAAAGGTGTTGTGCCCAAAAAAAGGAATTTAGAAAAATAATTGCCAACAGCCAAAAAAATGCCGGTTTCTTTGATATCTTTATTTTGACGAGCGCTCGATTTCACTACGCTGCCTCACACATTATTTTCATCAACACTACTTTAAAATTCATACCTATGAAACACGGTCCAATAGATGGGCGACTTCTTTTTGAGACGCACATGGTGATTCCTAGACTGCTTTGAGGAGAAAAAAACTGCGTAATTACACTGAAATCTGGGTGCAAGATGGTGCTACTGTCTCAAAATGAACAATTTATTGACTAGATCTAGGTTTTGTAAATCATATGTGAGGAGTGCTGACAAAATGAGTTACTTCTCGCCATCCACAAATGGAGATATTGGCCAAAAATCGACACAAGTGTCAAATTTGTAAATTTTCTATTAATGCCATATTCTTTAAGAACAACATTTCTTTTATTATTTCATACTTTTAAATTGTAAAAACTTCCCTTATACTTATAAGCGTGAAGCATAAATTTCCATAAATAAGGCTTGAATCCGATAAGCAACTCATTTTGTCAGCTCGCATATATTTAAATTACTATAGTGATCCTGTGTATGCACCCTAAGTATGGTGTTTAACATAGGGCCCAAATTAAGTGGATCAAGATTTTTTTTTTAAAGAAGTGCCATGCAAAGTTACAAGTGTATTGCCAAATTAATAAATGAGCGGACAGACCAAAATTAACAAGCGTTAGTATAAGTTATAAGCCTATCATCCATTGATATTTCAGTAGTTGTTACTGCTAGGAAAAATGATTGACTAAAAGAATGCAATCCATGTGCAATGGTGGGGAAAAGCCAGAAAGCATATATAACAGAAGAGTAAGAAAGAAGTTGGGACTCTCCAGTGGCACCTCACCCCTTAACTATCATCACAACTATTCAGTTACTTAATATTGTTTACAATTTCAACCCTTTTTACACAGAACAAGGTTTAGATCATAACCATAACGGCACCCGCTGCAGCGGGACCATCCCTACAGTGGGACCTTACCAAAATCCCCCCCTTTTTTTTTGTATGTTAACTCAATTACCTGTGCTCGGGGTTCACAGGGCAAGGAAATGCCCGAACAAGGATACAGCGGGAGAGATCGAGCGAGCTCCAGCTGGGGGGAAGGGGGTTGTGGGGTCGGGTGGCTGTAAAAGGGGTCCAAACAGGCAGTCAGCGGTTTGGCGTTGTGATTGGCCAGTCCAGTGATGAGCGAGGTGTGGCAGGCGGCAGAGAGAGAGAGATGATGCAGAGAGACATGTGTCATAGCCCTACTAGGCCTAGGCTAAGCCAAAAAGTAAAAGAAGATGAGAGCGTGTAGTGTGCGATTCCTGATTGATTGAATTGCGATCGTTGATGCTCATAGGCATACGCACGCATCCACTTCACCAATTCTACAGTAGGCTTACTGGTACGATAGACAGCCCAAGCAACAAGACCGAGGAAAAGATGGCTGCCAACAAAGACAAAAGGAAATACTTCTCACTCGAATTAAAGGCCGAGATAAGCAACGAATTTGACAAGAAAAGATCTAAAGCGCAAATTTTATTGATGTGGAAGGAATGTAATCATGCAGATTTTAAATTTTTTTCCGGCAATTCCCCTTTGCATTGCTATAGCGGGAACTTGCCTACAGCAGGATTTTTCTTCTGGAACCAAAAGTCCCCCCATAGGTATGTTCTACTGTAAAAGGTTGGCCTTAATTGAGAGGCAACTATTCTATATGTATTTGTGAGAATATTTTCCATAAATTATTAGAACATAAAAAATCCTATAGTGTTGAACAGGATGTAAAATTGAAACTTAGAACTTTTACTACATTCTTTCCAGTCTGCTGGTGTGTCATGGCTAGGACTACAATACCGGCAGACAATAATTTGAAAAGCTTATTCACCAAGATTAACAGTATAATAAGTATAATAAAAAATGTCAGTTATCCAATTCCAGCAATCCAATGAATTGTAAACTGTGAAGTTGTCCTATCTGCCTACTTTGTCCCCAAGCCTTTCTGTGAAGCCAATTTCATGATGAATTTGCAATAGTTTTATTCCACTTTCAACACACCAATTCATATTTTAGGATGATGGACTTAGAAATAAAACTTTATCTCAAGGGAAGGTAGGCCTTCATGATACCACCAGACCATAATATAGCTTCTTGAGCAAGCTTTTCTTTTTCTCAAACTTCACTGTAGTATTAACACCATTTTGATATAGCCTATGAATGGAAGCCCATTAGTCATATAGACCCAATCTGGTCATTCAGGTCCGATTGGGTTGGGTCGCGAAAAGGTGCTTGCCAGTGCACAGTATTTAAATAGACTTCTGCTTTGCTTCATCAAACTGGACTCGGAACACTATTAATCCAATCTCATTCCATACAAAGAAAAGATTCCCCCCAATGTCAATACATGCATAGCAGCCTTCAAATTGGCTACTGGCTACGATTTACATCAAATGAACCCATTCCGGACTTAGAAAATCAAAACTGTTTGATTTTGGAGGATTAAATCAAATAGCGATAAAATGTAAGCTTTTGTCCCTTCATGAAAGAAAATCTGGCCACACTCAAACGTATCAATCCATATCAAATAAAGATTTGACGAAACTTTCTGCAGTCTGGGTATAAACATAAGGTAGGCTACTCAGATGTACTTTGGATTCAAAACCTTGTAGCGATTCTGATGCTAGAGAACTGCATTCAAAGTAGTGAAACATAGTCTTGAACTAGAACCTGCACTATTCAGAATGAGGCATATCAGAAACAGTTGAATAATAGTGGTAGTATACAAAATACAACTCGTCTGCCAAGTAACAGCCACATTTTGTCAAAAACAATGGTTACGTTATGTGGAATAGAAGTAGAAGCAGGATCACATCATTCCTCCAGAAAAGTATCATGTTTGAATTAATGAATTCCAAAGCTCCTTGCCTGGTTCGACTTTAAAATGCCTCAAAAGGTAAACGATTTGAAAGAGGCGAAGTGGCAATGCATAGGGGTTTCATCGAGCAGTTTAGGCACAGCTCATTTCTAGGAGCCTTACAGATTCAGAATAGGCTATTTCAAAGGAGGAATGCTCCACTGGGCTAAGCAAATTTCTACTGAAAAGAAAAGACTTTGGCTCAAACTGTGACATTGTACATGTCAATCAATTTCATTTATAATGTAACATCCAGCTATGCTATTTTCATCACAATTCTGAGCTTATCTTCATAACAACAATAAAAGTACATTCAAATTCCTTTAGGATCTACTGTTCCAATACACTCATAGAGATACATATATGTAAACACACACTGACACATAAGTAACTCCACACCACAGCAATTTCTGAACAACAAATGAAATGCAATGATTGTAATGTAATGCATACTTTTATTTGCCTTCAATATGTGAATCAGAACTCTCTGAAGAGGAAACTTTGAGTTGTTCTTCAAGTACCAAGTCTGTAGCAGTTTTACCAGTAACTTGTATTTGGGAAAATTTCTTGCTTGGAAATTCAGTGGCTGCCATCTCTGAATCCCTGAACATGAAAGGGTGCCAAATTCCTTGAGTACTTGGGGTTTCTGTGTGATTATTTTGGATCATATTGACAATTTGCACCCCTGACCTTGTACGCATGTGTTCCACCCACTTGCAGATCTCTGGAACTTCTTTGCCACTCAGAAGCATAACTTCTCTTCGGCCATTTACTGTATACATGGAAAGAAAAACAAGCAAAAAAAATTAAAAAGACAAAAATGTATTTTTAAATGGAAGGCTAATTGAACAGTACCCTTGTCAAGAAATTCCCAAGAAAACAAGCGGATGTGCAGTCCCTTTTCCTCAGAGTTCACCTGTTTCTGAGAAGCGACTACCTCAGATGAAAATCTACTGTGCTGGTCATCTTGCTTGAGAGTGAGCAAATACATAAATGATTGAAACAATAAAGGGAGAACTTCATACTACAAGAAATCTCAGCAATGCTTTGTGAGGATTTTAGATGACAAAAAGGAATAGATCAAGGATTATAAAAGAGTTCTTTAAAGAACAAAATAACCGAGAAAGTGACATGTATGCATATTATTTTATATATATGATCATGTACATACAGCAGTCTCCACCTAAGTACCCACCGCATACGATCCCGATTCGCTTGAGATCTCACTGTTTAAAGAAAGCAAAATTTTTATGACACAAAAGTCACCCCTAAGATCCCGCTCTGAAGATCTACATTACATTCACCTAAGATCCCCCATTTCAGATCATAATTTAATTCACAAAATTTTTCCCTTCGTGCATTGGGTAAGATTCTGTTCACTTAAAATCCTGCATTTTCCTTGCTCCCACCCGAGCACCAGGATCTTAGGCGGAGACACACACACACACACACATTACATTAGTACAGCAGACTCATTTAGCAAAGAAGATCTTTGTATGCACATGTAAATGTTGTTCCTTGTTGGTGGTGGTGCCATGAGGGTGAACATAGCTATTTAAATAAAGCCTGTATGTCACGACGCTGTGGAATCAGGCGCTCATCAATTTTTGGACATGTGGAGTTATTGGTATAATTTTAAAGCATGTTCATTTGTCTTGCTTTCGGTGGAAAAAAATACTCATCTGTCATGAACAGATGTCAAGATACTTATGATTGAAAGAGATGGTGGTCGCCTGGTTTCAGAGGTAAAACTAGCGAGAAAATGGTTGCCAAAGTTTGGTGACTTCCAAAGCTTGAGAGTCCTTAGAAACTGCAAATTTACCTTTTTATGCCTTAAATCAACATTTTTCAGTAAAATACACACAGAAATGCGTTTAAGGACTTTAAAGGTATTAAGTCAAAAAATTCGATAAAAATTGTCAAATAGATAGAAAAATGTCAGTTTCTTCGATTTCATTTTGACGAGCGTCTGATTTCACCACGATGCCTCACAAATAATATAAGTTAAGTTGTAAGAAGCAGTAGAATAACAGCCTGTTTCACATAATATATTTTAGAGTAGTTTGCCGAGGTGGTCAATTAACTAACAATCTATGCCTTCACCATACCTGCCTTGGCTAGAAAAGAAAAATGAACAGAAATAGAAAATAGTACAAGTCCCATCATAAAGGCGCCTTTCAAGAACCGATAAATTAAAGCGATGTGATGTACTCAGGTCATCCAGTTTATTTTCATCCAATCTTCGGCAACTAATGACAGTAGGGGCTGCATACTAGCATGGCCACTTCGATAATTTTTTTTCATGCTGCCATCCATAACCTTCCTTTGAATTCAGTCACTTAAAATTAAATCACAGGGAAGGAGATCAGTGTAATGAGTATTCGAAATAAACGTCGGGGTAACTTACAAAATTCAGCAACAACTGATGGGGGCCGGTGTCGTCTTGGCTGCAGGTAACATACCACGCCAGGGTTTTTCTGAGTAAACTCAAGAAGGTTGTTCTCAATAAAATCCCTGGGGAAATAAACTGAACACTGAGCATACCTTATTGGACAAGAAACATTTTGATTCTAAAAATCACCTTGTATTAACCTACAACACATTACATATTGTCTTTGTCACAACCTGGAGAGTAAAACCGCCTAAGAACCTTTTTTTACTAGACAGAGAAGTATCTTGAATAAAGTCTCATTTTTGTACTGGTCTTTATACCCACATTTTTATTTGATTTCACAAGACTGAGGTTTCGCTTGACTCTGGAGTCCTAAGTGAACCAAATCTTGTGATATTTTCCCAGATGTTCTTTTTGTAGTCCTGCATAAAGTGAGAAGATTCTTGAAAAGTATGAAAATCTAGGTTACATCCTTGCTTTGTGAAGTTTTCATACCCACTAATTTTTTTAATTTTCACCACAAACTAGGACTAATTATTTGTTTTAAAGGTCTAGAAAACAGGCTGCAGAACTAAACCAAAGCTGCTCTGTCAAAAAAGAGAAGACTAAACCAAGAACTCCTGAAAGTAGAACATATATAATGAAGAATTCTGTAATGACCTACAGATAACTAAAATTGAACTTTTAGGAGTGTGCAGTAGAAACAAGGCTGTCATCTGAATTAGTATTTTTAATTGTTTACACACACACAACCAACTCGGAAATGTTTTCCTCTCGACCGATTCGGATTGTCCATACAACTTTTTGAGCAGTCTTCCTGACAAACTTTATGACAGCATTTCTTTACACCATTACTTCAAATACTCTAAACAAAAGTGATAAACACAACACCGGGAAATTAAAAACTAGAAAGTAAAATCAACTATCTTTTTTTGTCTTAGTACAGGTTTTGTCGGCGTTCCCAACTGCATAAGGTTATATGAGCGCCAAGGGGTGGATGTCGACAGAGAAGTCCTTACAGGGAATCAGACTTACTCTGCTCACCTCTGTAGCTTCAACAGCACAAAGTCTGCTTCGACTTCGACTATCAAGTCACCCCAGAAGTAGCGGGTCACAAGAATGTGACAACATACAACAGAAGTAGAGGAAAACAATGACGATAGTAAGGATTAGGAAAGAAAAAGCAGCAGTTCCCTGTTGCGGGCGCAAATTCCTCTGTGGACAGATTGGTGGTTACCCAAATTATGAATGAGTCAAACACTTTTATCAGATCAGTCTCTGAGATGTGTTTAACTGCTTGTTTAATGAGAGTAAGTAGTGTTGAACCGTGGTTATTGTAATGATATGGAAAACTGCCATTCATTTCTGGTTTGAAAGTCTTAATCGGCAAATGAATGGCTATTTCCAAGTTCCACTTGATGAGAAGTCGGCAAAACTGACTAAATTTATTACCCCTGAAGGAAGGTTCTTCTACAAACTGTAACAAACGCTTGTCGCAAGGGATCTGCTCGGTGAGCAAAATTTTTCAGAGGACGATAGAACAGATTTTCGGTGATCAGGAGGGAGCAATTTGTTTCCAGAACAACATCCTTTTTCACAGCAGAAACACAGAGGAGAACAAGAGACACTTAAAAGAAATCTTTTCAAAGCTTGAAAATGCCGCTGTGAAACTGAACCAAGAAAAATGCGAGCTGAGAAAGGATGAGGTGAAATTCTTGGGGTTCATCATCAGCAAGGATGGGACCAGACCGGATGACGGCAAGACGTCAGCAATCATCCAAATGCCAGACCCCACAAACCTGACTGAGCTGCGCAGAATGCTGGGTTTGGTACAATTTGCCAGACGTCACTTCCAAATCACTCCACAGTTGCCCGCCCCTTGACAGAGCTACTCAAGAAAGAAAGAGCGTGGACATGGGGTCCATCTCAGATTGAAGCAGTGAAAAAGGTCAAGGAACTGTTAACAGAAGCACCGACGCTGGCATACTTTGACCCACAACTGCTAACGACAGTGAGTGCTGATGCCAGTGGCTATGGCCTGGAGGCTGTGCAGCTGCAAAAGCATGAAGAGGGCGATCGTCCAGTCGCTTTCTCATCCGGAACACTGTTAAAGCCAGAAAAGCAATACGCACAAATAGAAAAGGAGTGCTTAGCATGGGCGTGCGAGAAATTTGAGAAATATCTCATCAGACTGCCAGCAGTAGAGATTGTGACACACAAACCCCTAGTGCCTTTGATTAATACGAACGATTTATCAGACACACCTCTTCGATGCCAGAGACTGTTACATAGACTGCAAAGATTTAATGTGACTGCCAGATACGTTGAGGGCAAGAAGATGCTGGTGGCTGACGCTCTCAGCAGACACCACTAGCAGATGAAGACAGAGTCACATCAAGACGTGCACACACATGTCAGAGGGGTAGAGGCGTTGTGGCCAGTCAGAGAAACAACACTTGAAAAGCTGAAACAGGCGATGAAAGAAGACGTCAAACTGAGCTGTGCCATGAGCTACACACTGAATGGATGGCCTGCATAAAAAGAAAATGTTCAACTAGCAGCCAGAAACTTGTACGATATCAGAAGCGAGCCGAGCGTGCAAGATGGGCTACTGTTGAGGGGGAAAAGAATTGTCGTCCCATTAGAGATGAGAAAAGAGGTTCTTGAGAAGATTCACCATGGTCATATGGGAATAGCTAAATGCCGAGAGAGAGCAGCGCAGTCAGTGTGGTACCCACAGATTGGGAAAGACATAATATAAAGGAAAGAGTGGCAAATTGTCGACAGTGCTTGGAAGAGAGAGCATCCCATCCCAAAGAGCCTCTGCTTCCAATGCCGCTTCCCAAAAGGCCATTTGAGAAGGCAGCACTTGACCTGTTTGAAATGAAAGGTCGGTCATTCGTTGTGGTCACCGATTGCTACTCATGTTATTCAGGAATTGGGTACTTGCCCAACCAGAAAGCCTCAAGTTTAGTCACGAAACTGAAAATCTTCTTTGCGAGATGTGGCATCCCAGAGACAGTAGTCAGTGACAATCAGATCAATCTTACGTCACACAAATTTCAACAATTTGCCAAAGACATGGGTTTCCAGCATATTACCAGTTCCCCACACTTCCCCTGTGGGAACGGAGCAGCAGAGTGCAGAGTCAAACTGTCCAAGCGCCTGTTAAGGCAAGAAGACTGCGCTCTGGCACTGTTGATGTACAGAGCTACGCCAATACCAGGGCTGGGTGCTAGTCCGGCAGAGCTAGAGATGGGGAGGAAAATGAAGATGACGGTCCCAAAGCTTCCCACAGTCATACAGCCTCGCACAGACGACACGCATCAGCTGCTCGAAAAGGACAGAGCCTACAAGCAGAAGCAAAAGTCCTATCATGACAGACACTTCAGAGCTCTGGTCTTGTCTGAGCTCAGACCAGGTGACGCGGTTTTCGTCAAACTGGACGGACAACAGGGCTGAAAGCAGCAAGCCAAGGTAGTAAAGCAGTGTGCACCCAGGTTGTACCTAGTGGAGACGACAGCAGGCGGCGTGCTGAGGCGGAATTGGCGCCATCTTCTGCACCGACCAGAGGGAGGCGACAGTCTGAGGTCGTCGTACATCCAGTTTCTAGCTTTGGAGTCCTCGGAGGTAAATCAATCTCTGATTTCTACGAACGCTGATCCAGTCCAACCGCCAAAGCCTGGAGGTAACAGAGGAGGTCTTCCAGAGCAGCCTCCACCATCTCCATCATCGCACATGTCCATGGAGCCAGCGACGTCAAAAGTGCAAAATCAACAAGCGACATGTACAACTGCAGTGCAGGCACCGCAATTCAGCAGAAGCGGCAGAGCCATCATTAAGCCAGCACGTTACCGAGATGAATGAATGATGAATGACAGTGTTCCATATCATTATGATTATATACAGTTATCAATCAATTTTATGGACCTCCTACTCCAAGGACTGCCCGGTACTACTGAGCCTACTAAACAAATTTAATAGTTTAATTTTTAAAAGCCCAAGGCCAAGAGCAAGGGATACATACCTTTATGGGTAATGATTTAATTTCTCACTCAACTAACTATGTACATCTATTATTAACTTGAGCCTCACTGTTACTATGCCTCCGCCGAAAGTTGTCAGTTAGACAGGTTAGTTATTAAAAATTAGCATCATCAGTATCACAATAAACTTACGACAAAATAACTGACTTCAGTTTCAGTCAGAATCAGTATCCAGTGTGTGTAGCCTATTCTTTTCAAATTTTCGATTAAATTTTAGGTCACTAGATCTAGAATCTAGATTAGATCTAGACTAGATCTAGCTAGAATTCTAGATGTATATCCAGGCCCTCCTGTACAATTGCGGTACCGTTTGAGGATACTCGTTTTGACCTTACCAACGATTAGGCCTACTTCTGGTTCTAAACGATTACTTTTTGATGTGTGTGCTGATAGGCCTGGAGAGATAGCCAATCAAACCTATTGCAATTTAACATCAAATTATGGTCCAAATTCCCCTTGCTTCCTTGTTAATTACAAGTGAAGTTTTACTGCTCATTTTGTAGGTAAGATCAACTGATACACAGCGCACCGGCAGTGGAATTTTAGTTGCTGTGGGGGGTTCCCCGCCGGGCGCCTTATCATGTCGGGGTCACGGGGGTCAGCTCCCTGTCGCCACTCTGTCTGGGCCGACTTAATTTTTTGTACTTTTCAACATACAATTTAAGGTGTATCCTTGTATTTATGGTAATTCTCATTTAGTGCAGCCAAAGCATGCATTTCTGCTCTTGAGACTAAAAAAAGAACGGACGTTGTAACTAGTCTGGTTATTTCGTTAGACGCGCTGGAGTCGGCAATGCTAAACTGTAATTTTTTTTGGACTAGCGTGAATGAAAAAAAATCAATATAAAGAAAAGGCCTCGTCAAAATCTGTCGAACTTTTGGAACATGAACGACATAGCATTGGTGGAGATACTCAGAAAAGATGGTATCTGCGCATTTAATAGAAAGCTGTAATTTTGCAACTTTATCCATCGGGCACACAATTCGCTATGAAATAATTCCTCCAAATACAACTTTATGTGTCTAATATATATAATCGTGAATATTCGCATATTTTCTCGAAAGTTTATAAAAGT